TATATATATATATATATATATATATATATATATTTTTTTTTTTAAGTGATCATTTAAAAAACAAAAAACAACCGGGGGACCTACCCCCTTGCCCTTGCACCACGTGTTGTGTCCAGCCCCCACTGCTGCCCTGTACCCAGGGGCTGGGGCTGAAGTTTGCGATTCACACGCTGCCTCTGCACTGTGCCCAGCAGCGGCGTGGGGAGGACGCCGGTAGAGGTCATTTCTGCTCTGGTGCCGCTCAGTGTAAGCAGTGCTGTATGGGGATGGAGGGGCTGTGGGGCTCAGCCCTGCAGGGGCGCTCCTGTGGGCGCGTGGCCGCGGCTGTGCTGCTTTGTGGTGCTGGGACTGAAATGTGACAGCGGTGAAAGGGAGAGTCCTGCCTCGGTGCCGGAGCATCCGCTGTGTACCTGGATGTGATACAGCCGCACCAAGGGCAGGCCGAGCGTGGTGTGTGGCCCTTAAAGGGGTTGATGTGAAATGCAAAGCCACTAGGAAGCAGTTGAGGCGTAATGTTCGAACCTGACTGACAGATTCTGCTGGGCCTGTCCGAGCTCATGGCCCCTGCCTTCGCCTGCCTCAATAATTTGATTTGGGGCTGAATCAGATACGGTGCAGTCACTGATTTGACTGTGCTCCAGAGATTAAAGTCACCAGACCTTGGTGTACGGCCGTATTCTGAGTATTTTTAAAGATAAATCTAGTTAGGAAGGACAAAGGCAAACAATATCCGAACAAGAGTTTAAAAGATGCCAGGAGGACACCCTCTCTTCCTCTGCCCGTGATTATGTTCTCCCCAGCTTTCTATGGCACAGAGTCCCTGCAGCGAATTAGTTTGCTTTGCTTGGGGGAGGGGCAAAAAGCTCGGCGAGGGCCAATGTGCCTCAGTGCTGCTGTGTGAGCGATGGAGGCAATTCTAGCAGCAGTGCTCCTCGCAGTCAGAGCGTGGCTGGCGGGGCGCAGCTCGCGGGTCCCCCCGGCCGCTCGTCCGTAGCCGTGTTGTAGTGATGCTGCTCGGTGTAACATAGCGTTTGACTCTGTTTCAACGTTCAGCGCAGGAGGCAGATCGGTTGGGTATTGGCATGGAAACGTCGCTCTTGTTTACAGTTACGTTAAAAGCTTTGTTTAGGTAATGGCCATTCATATCAGAAATAGTATTATAGTCATTTCCTAGAGGACTTGTAGATACAGTAAGTAGAATCGTACCTAACTAACTCGATATTTTTTTTTTTTGTAGAAATTTTTTTGTTTGCTGAAGTAGTGGATGGGGTTGTGCAAAAGGTATGGATGTGCCGAGGGGTGCCGGGGTGCCTCTGAGAATGGCAGCCTTGGGCAGAAAGTTTGTACAAAGGAGAGCTCGGTTGCTCAGGAGGAGCTGTTGCTGCGGTGCAGGGAGCTCCGTGCTCTTTAGACTGACCTTGAGAAATGAGCGGTTCACTTCAGAATGTAACGGCTCTGCTGCTTTCTGCCAGTGGGATCGCGGTGTTCTGGTGGGACTGGTGTTCATTTTGCAAAAACTTTTCCATTGGAAGTGGCTGTGGGAATGTGCCTGTTTGCCTTTGAGTACCTGCATGGGCCATCCATACCTTTTGTGTCGCCCCAGTAGACAGATGCTAGTCAGTGCTGGATGTATTTGTAGATAATGTTAATCTCTATGAAAAAGGTTAGCTTTCTAGTTAGAAAAGTTACTGTTTAATGCTTTTTGAACAAAGAAGAGGCACGTAATCACTCATTTCTCAGGTGTGTTCTAAAAGAAAGATACCGTATTTGTATCTGATGCAGACAAATTAGTGATAAGTTGCACTTCAAATGCTGGTGCTGTTTACGGTTTTGACATATTAAGTGAGCAGAGCTGCTCTTTAGGAGAGGTTATTTGTCACAGAAATCACCACGGGAATAATGGTACCAAAGTGGGAACACCTCCTTGTTTGGGGGCAGCTGCAGGGGGTGAAATACAGCCAACCCCAAGCCAGGAAAGGCTCTGCTTCTGCCTTCACATGGTCAGGGTCAGCGTTTGTTACGCAGTTGCAGGGTGCCCAGTCCAGGTGGGATGTAGTCCTCTGAAACACCCTCTCCTAGCCTAGTTAGAATGTGAGTGCACGCAGATGCTGCTAAAAATACAGAAGCAATCAGCAGCATGCGTGCACTTTCTTGCAGTTGTTTTTGGCAGTAGAGCGCTGCCTAAAAGGTGTGATTATTTATTTACATCCAGTCCTTCATTTATGGTGGTGGATTTCTGTTTTCAGGTGATTTTTGACGGAGTGCAGTTGGTAATGCCCCATGTGAAAGTTGCTTTTAAAATTGCAGAATGAACATTTTAGAACTGCAAAGTGGATATGGCTTGTAATTTATGCAACACAGTGGGTGTCAGTGCTGCCTCTGAAGGGAGCGAGGGATGAAACCAAGGTGTGCTCACTGATCTTCTTGGTTCTTTCTGTTCCTGCTTCATTCAGGAATACTTCAGGGAACTCCCTCATGGAAAATCTTTTTTGAAGAACTGGGTCTCTCTGGCTCACAGTGGCTGCACGTTTTGTTTTGCTCTCTTTCCCTCACCTCCGCAGTGCTCCTTTGCGATCTCGCAGCGCTCGTTGGTTCTTTGGGGGAAATGCTGTAGCAGATCCATGAGGAGCGCTGTTAGGAAGGATGGTCTCGCAGTCCTTCTAACAATTCAGTTTTAATTACCAACTGAAACTGAAGCAATTTGACTTTGAATTTTGCATTCTGCGTTGATGCTGCTAGCCAGCTGACAAAATAGAAGAATGAAACAGAGGCCAAAGTGACCCAAAACCCAACGGAAGGAAGGTGCAGGTGTCAGGGCCTACAGGGAAGGGCTCGATCAGGAGTGCTGCTTTCTGTGCAACCTCAGGAGTGGTGTTGCTGCAAAAGCAGCACCCGGAGGCCCATACAGGGCTCCCTGGGCACTGCTGGTGGTTGTGACCCACTGGCCCTGCTCAGGGTGCACAGGAGTTTGCTTCCTCCCTTCCTTGTCTCCCTCCCTTTGCCAGGAAGTCTCTGACAAACCCAACCTGTGATCTCTCACAGGGTGGTTGTAGGGCCCAGTGTGCTGAACTATAAGCCTGAGAAATGAGAGATTAATAATTCAATGATTTTTTTTTTTTTTTTTTAATAAGACAAGAAACAGCCTGACAATCTTGTTGATTTCTCCTTTCTTTTTCCTCAGATTGACCCTAAAGTTGCATTTCCCCGACGAGCACAGCCTAAGGTAAGTAGGAGGATCAATAATAGGATTTTAGGCACACAGAGAATCATTGTTGCCAGGCAGTTCAGGTTTCAAACAGGGAATTGGCAATGAAAGCTTTTAAAGCCGGAGTGCATGGCGTCTTAAGGGTATCAGCGCATGGCTGTGAAACTGCAGGAGAGCTGCTTTGTGCTGTTCGTGCCTGCAGTTAACTGTCTCCTTGCAGAGTCCCGGTCAGTTTGCTGGCTGAAAACCAGAGGCTTCTCTGGCGGTGGTGGGAGATTGTTGCCACATTACTTGGGTTTGTTATGCTCTTTTCTGCAGTATGTTTTGCATGGTATTTATGGAGAGCGTTTGGATTAAATGCAGACTTCAGGCTTGTTTTGAGCTGAGCTTTCAGTTCTGCGGTTGTGATGGATGGGGATATATCTCTGCCTGCATTGTTTGCAAGTTTTCTTTTGTGTAGCTTCAGAGATGCGTTTGGATATTAGCAAGTGTTGGAGAGCAAGTTCTGATGGAGCTGTGAACTCTTCAGGCCGCAGGGTATTCTGCAGGCATGGGGAGGCAATGAGCTTTAAGTCGGGCAGGCTGAGCAGGGACCTCCTAGCATCCTTGCAGGGTGCTCCAGCAGCGCGGGGCGCTTTCCACGCCAGGACAAAGGCGCTGGCTGTGTGCAGATGCGCTGCTGGCGCTTGGCTCTGAGTTATCGCTCAGTGCCGCCTCCTTGGGCAGACCTGCGGGTGGAGCAGGAGTGGCTGTTGCTCTTCAGGTCCTGCCTGGCAAAACCAGCAGATCAGTTTCAAATCCCAAAACATTTGCAGTTGCGTTTGAATTTTGAAAGCTAAAAGAAAGCTTCTGTAATTGGCTTTCTGACTGCCTGTTTTTGAGAATCTGTAGGAAGCATTGATGTGACGTGTGCCACTTGTACTTTTATACACTGTTTGTCTTGGGTTGTTTTGGTTGAAAAATTGGAAAAGAAGACTGTGGAGTTGCAGAGGGAATTCAGTAAGGAGAAGCATTTTACAGCCTTTGTGGCTTGAGACCACCTGAGCAAGTTCAGCCCAACAGTTTTGTTGTATATGGTTTCTTATCAAAGCAGGTGGTTTAATAGTGGGACTGTAACATTAAATATTGTACAAAATGTGCGTCTGGGGAAAAATGTGTGATTTTAGGAACCCCGGGCGTACAGCAGGAGAGGTGCTGGTGATTTCTTTAAAGTGAAATGGGGAGGGGGGGGGGGGGGAAGACAAGAAAACCCAACAGTGTACTTGTGGAGCTTTAAACCAAATGAATGTGGTAAATGAGTTAAAGGTTCTTTTCTTCATTGGACATATCTAATAACTAATTAGTGAATAACAAGCTGCCTGATTTGCTTCCTTGCTAAGCAGAGTTTATACTTGTGGGGTTTGTGGCTTCTGGATTATGGTGTTGGATTAGTGCTGTCTTTCAGAGAGATTTTTAAAGTTTCCAGGATTCTGAAAGGTTTCATAATTAAAGAAGGTGATCTTGCATGAAGGTGATCTCACACTGTGATTGATGCTTCTTTCCTCCTTCCAGCGCCTTTAAAGGCTTATTTACTTTTTAAACTGCCTTCAATTACCAGGTGTCTGTTTCTACAGTGCTATTTGTGAAAGTTTATAACGCTTACAGCGGAGCTGTTAAACTGTCCCAGGTGACTTCTTCTAAAACAACAACAGCAAAAAAAACAACAGGGCTTGTCTTATGCAGTGGGTATTGCTGTGTTAAATTGACCTGATTTCTGCATTCTTTAACAGGAAACTTTTACCAAGGAAACAAAGGGGATTTTATTTTTCTCGGAGTGCTTTGGCTGGTTGGTGGCAGACATCTTTCAGGCGTGGGGCAAAGCCCGGGATGTGGGCTGTGCTCCCCAGGGGTGGCCCTGCTGCGGTGCGTTGTGCTGTGCTGTGTGTGCTGCCTCCGTGGGGGCCGGGATCCCGCATGGCGTTTGAGGGGCAGAAAGAAACTGAAAGGAGCCTGATGGAGAAAATGTGTGCAGTGAAGAACAGGTTTTACACTGTTCTGTGATACGTTGTTCTGGACTGTGTTTTACGACCTGGACTTTCTGTTTCTTACTTAGATACCGATTTAAGGTTTTGGACTTAAGTTGTTCCCTCATCCCAGTTGAATACTGAGTGTTGTGCATTAGAATGCAACTGTTTTGGAGTCTAACTAACTAGCTAACGCTTGGGGCTGTGCAGATGAATGGCGTTCAGTGCCGTGTCTCTCTCTAGGTGTGAGAGGAGATCTTTTCCCCAGGCAGTTCCCCCAGCTGTGCCCCCAGAACCAGGGCTGTGCTCCACGTGAGGCCGGGCCGCAGAAGGCCGCTCAGGGCAGTGCAGTATCTGGGGGCCGCGGCTGGCCGCTCCCAGGCTGCGTTCCCCCCGGCTGGGGGCTGTGCTCTGCAGGGTCACAGTCACTTTGTGTGTGTGCATAATGATTTGTGTGCGTCGCTTTCCCCATTCGGATCCTTTCCCCATTCGGATCCATGCTAATTGGCCAGGCTCCCTCTTTCAGACTGCGTCCGGGCAAAATGCTTTCTTTTGGGCTTTCTAAACTGCGTCTCCATGATGTGTCACCTCGCTGGTGATGCACATTGGCTGCTGAGTGAGAAGTGGCAGACTGGAACAGTGGAGTGTTCACCCTGGTTTTCTGAGAGCAGCCCTTCCACAGATCCTTAGCGATTGCCCCCGGTGGATTTCTGATGTGCAGTGCTCCCCTCCTTGTGCAGTTTGACTTCAAGCTGCTGTTTTTGGACATTTGCTGCAGAGCTTTAACTTGCCGAGGTTCCAGTGTGGGCTAACGGAGATGAAGGAATATAGCGAGGTGCTGTGGAGGCCGCTGTTCCTTGATAGCAATCTGTCTTGCTTCCAAATGCTGGAAGGAGCTCTCGAGCAGTTGATCATTTTTAACTCTGCTGACATAAAAATCCTTAAAAAGCAGCCAGGCGGGAGGAAGCAGTTGAGTACCCCTTTTTGAACACTGAAGACTACAGTAATGTGACTTTTTAATACGTACAGACTATTGACTCTGACCTTACCCATTATGTTATGTGGGAGAAGCCTTACCGAATTTAGCGTGTTCATTAGATATTTTCAAGCGTGATGGATTCCCACCTCCCCCTGCTGCGAAGAAACTCTCAGATGGTACGTGTGTGCTTGTGTGACTTCGGTGCAGTTATTTGCTGCTCGTGTCGCTGTGCTCAGTGACATCGGGCAGTGCCACGTGTGTGACCTGCTGGCCACTGCTTGCATGTGCTCCGGGAGCACTGGACAGGCAGCACCCAGCCCAGGAGCTCCGTCTGCTGCCAACCCAGAGCAGAGCTTGTTCTTGTCGAGGTTCTGTTGTTACTGAGGAGCTGATCTGTGTGTGCTGGGCATGGTGTTCTGATGACTGTCCAGCACATAGTAGCAAGAGTCTTATTTGGGGAGAGAAGTGTTTAGACTGGTAGTGAAATGGTGGTACTGGATACAGTGCTCTTGTTAGGTGTGTTTTATCCTGACAGAGGACACTGTGGGACCAGCCCTGGTTCTGGCATGGCTGTGCCCAGTCAGCCAGCGTGCCCCCAGATGGCTGTGCCTGCCAGTGCCTGGGCTGGACGGAGGTGCAGTTCTACACGTCTGTTCCTTCTTGAGTGGAAAACTGAGCATCAACAGCTCTTCTTTCAGTGGAGTTGTCCCGGTTAAAGCCATGTGAAGCTGACTGTTCCAGAGCAGCAAATGGAGGGCATGCCCTTTTGGAATAACACTCCGGCTAACCTGGGATTTTTTTTTAATTATTTTTTTTAAGTGAACCAATGGATTTGGATGTCTGATTCCAATTAAGCTAACTGTAGGTGGGGAGTCTGCATCCCTTGGCCGGTAAATGTGAGTCAGAGTAGCAGAGAGATTTTATTCCAAAGCAAATGATGGACCTTGAGAATCCAGAGTTCTGCTCCCATGCTTCTTCCTCCAAACTCTTCCAGGTTAGTCCTGTTTCTTTTCATCTTAGGTGGAAGGTGCACTCTATGAAATAATGCAAACTGGATTCACCAGCAGAGCTCGGGACTCTTCCTTTCTGCTGCCCCTCTTTCTCTACCAGGCTGTCAAAAGCAGCAAAGACAAACCTTGCTGCTGTTACCATTGTTGTTATTATCATTCGTTTTATTTCCCTGCATTTGCATATCAGGATAGAATAAGGGAGTTACTACTTTCTGCTCTTGGCGTATGTGTGTATCTTAATTATTACTGCTGTATCTTCTACATACAGAGTAGTAGGAGATCCCTACCAGATGGCATGAGAGACTTGGTTTGACAGTTGATGGCCAGTGTATGGGTGTTTGCAGCCTATCCTGGTGGAGATGCCTTGTGTGCTGTAAGCTGCTCATAGAATTTGTCTCCCTCTGGCACTAGGTGGTCAAATGAAAAAGTTGATGAGTCTGAGTCTTAGCTTATCTTCTCAGGTAGTAAGGGCTCAGGGTTTTAAAACCTATTATTCTTGAGCTCAGCTTCTTGCTCTCTGATCTCTTAGAGGCAGAACACGATCTCTGTTCTTTGATGCTGGCAGCCAGAGGAAAAAGTGCCTGTGTAGGGCCTTCTGTGAGTGTGGTGAGCTTGGTCAGAAGCTGGAGTTGAGGTGGATTTTATTCTCCCTAACCACTCAGGCAGATTGCTCACATTGTCCTTAACCTCCAGAGAGTGTCCTATTGTTTTGTAAAACGCGTGTATTTCTCTTATTGTTGCCTAAGGATGGCTTTTGTATTCAGAATGGTCCTGTGTCTAGCCTATTTTCCTTTCTTTTTACTTAGTGCTAACTAAAAATTAAAATTGAGCATCGCTTGCCTTTTTTTCTGCAGAGGTAAGTCCTCTGCACCAAGACCTAGCTGCTTGGATACGGCAGGAGAGGGTCAGAAAAGGGGGAGGACAGGCAAATGGGAGAGAAGCAGCATGCTGACACCCTTGTGTGCTCCTCTCTGCTTCCAGATTGAGTACATCTCGTCTGCAAAGTGCTGAGCCTTTATCAGCCCG